CAAATCAAACAGGTTGGGTACGCACTAGATGTTCCATGGTATGCGAGCTTACCTCGGCTGGAGACCAGATTCTACATCCAGCAGTACGGTGGCCGTGATGACGTCTGGATTGGCAAGACTCTCTACAGGTATTTTTATTTAATTAATCAAACAGATGTCACTCAGTATTACGGTCTGATGGTATTCCTCTTCACTTATAAGTGAGAGGTTTTAGGTTCGAATGTCGTAGATAGCGAATTCAATACCAAATTAGGCTGCCTATTGTGTAGTTTAACCAAACTTTCACTCTTTAATGTAAAAAATATCGATATACTCAACCAAAAAAAAAAAAAATCAAACAGATGATCTGCCCCCGTAAGGGGACAGCATATAGGACTACCCGAATGAATAGTTAATTATTAACTAATTATTTCAATTAATTATTTGATATTTTCTAATAATTTTGAACTTGGAATCTAACGACTTGTTTGGTTCTAGGATGCCTTACGTAAACAACAATTTGTATCTCGACCTGGCAAAACTGGATTACAACAATTGCCAAGCACTGCATCTGATCGAATGGGACAACATTCAAAAGTATAAAACCTAATAATATTATATTTATGAATAGAAAATTATTATTAATTTTTGGGACTTGATTTTTTTGCATGTATACGATATTAAATTACGACATATATATGCAGGTGGTACGCTGAATGTAAACTTGAAAACTATGGATTGAGCACAAGAAGCCTCCTCATGGCTTATTTTGTTGCGGCATCGAGTATTTTCGAGCCGGAAAGAGCCAACGAACGACTTGCATGGGCTAAAACGACGTCATTAACTGAGACAATTGGGTCTCATTTCAGAGAAAGAACTTCTGAGCAAAGGAAGGCCTTTGTACATGAATTCAAAACTAGGTAAGTGAATGTTATACAATTGTTGTTTGGTCTCTTGGGGTCTTATTCATCTGCCAGACACATTTGTGCCAATTCCAAAAGTAGGGTTCATTGCTAGGGTACCCAACAAAAGGCTACTAGGTAAACACAGACAAATCTTTGACCAAATAATAGTGTCATACAAAGCACCAAATAATCTACGCAAAAGTGGAAGTCCCAAGATTTAGATCTAGTAATAATGCACACCATCCATGTTACCAATTATTACTTTCTGCATCACATGATGGAAGCTACTGATACCCACTATGGTTGTTGTCGAGAAACACTACTTCGCTATTTTTGCGTATTAAATTGTTATTTGTCTACAAGGAATAATTGCGTACATAGAATAACGACCCTTGTATTTTCCGTTGTCGTGGAAGAGTTTTAGGCATTTTGGATGAGGCAGATTTACATGTGGCTTGTGTTACAGGAAGATGAATACCAACAAGAAAGGGCAGGGACTCATTGAGATCTTGCTGACAACCCTACACTGCCTCTCGTTGGACGCCATGGTGGCGCATGGCCAAGACATCAGCAACCCTCTACGCCAAGCTGTGAGTTTCTAGCAAAACATCCACTTTTTTTAGGCTTTGTTTGGCTGCCAAATCTCTATGTGCATTACCCAACTATTGAAATTAAACATTTCTACTGATCCCTAGCTAAAACTTTAATTTTGATTTTTTTTTCTTCTGTTTTTTCCTTTTTAATAAAAATGCAGTGGGAAAAGTGGCTTCTGAAGTGGCAAGAGAAAGGAGATGTGCACCAAGATGAAGCCGAGTTGCTGGTCGAAATGATAAATCAAACCGCCGGCCTTTTGCCTTCAGACGGGCTGTTGTTGTCCAGTCCAGAGCATGAGCAACTTTTCAAGATCACCAACACAGTTTGTAACAAACTTCGCTGCTACCAAAACCAAAACCATAAGGTCAGAAAATTAAACCTATTTCTGCATTAGGGTTAGCTCCTTTCTCCACGTTTTATGTTGTCAGGCTGTTTTTATATATTTTTTTTTCTCTTTTATTTTCTCAGGTGAATGAAAACGGCAGCTACATCAAGACAGCTCAGGAAATCGAACCAGAGATGCAGCAGCTTGTGCAAATGGTGCTGCAAAAGCCTTTAAATGGTGCCATAGAATCTTCGATCAAGCAAACCTTTTTCACGGTTGCAAGGAGCTTTTACTACTCTGCATGCTCGGATCCTGGAACAATCAATGGCCACCTTACCAAAGTACTGTTCGAGAGAGTATTCTGATTGTTGTGTATAAGATTAGGCCCCAGAGCAATGCCTCTTTTAGTCATTGCATTTGTACTCAGTTCAACCCAGAAAGGGAAGTAAAAGTAAGTCATTGCGCATGTTCTTTGTTTTTGTGTGGTATCTGATGTGTTCCTCAATCACAACGGGGGAGAAACAATGAAAGTGAAGAAGGAAAAATTAGGGCTGTTCCCTTTCACGACAACACTTTAAACACGGTTTTAGGGTTTCACAGTAAAAAACACTTACAAACTTAAAAGAGAACAATCCTTAGGCTCGACTATTATTACACCCGATGTTATTTACCCGACGTTGTTTCAGGACTTATTATAGAATTTGATCTTGAAGTCTCACTAACATTAACAGTTGTCACGGGAGTTAAGCTAAAAAAATTATTAGAGCTAATTCAACTGTCCAAGGAATGAAGACTTGCATGATGGGATTAAAATGAGAAGCAAAATAATGCACCATGCATGCATCAAGATCAATAATTACAAATTATAGAATAAATATAAACAAGTAAGGGCAGAAACACAAAACACAAAAGGTGATGGACACATCGAATGAGATAGACATTGTTGTCTGTCCATCAAACCCCTGCGGCAAACCAAATGAAAATTATCATAAAAAAATGAGTTCATCAATTTCAACCAAATTAATAAAACTGTGGTAAAAGCAACCATGATTAGTGAGTAAACAAACTGTTAATTACGAGCTTAACTAGCACATGAATACCAAAGCAAAAATAGCCAAGACAAACACTCTCACACTCTCCAGGAAAACGTCAACTCAAGTCGAATCCAAACACGGAAAAAGAACTGAAGAATTTTCAACATATATTGTTAGCATGAATACCTAAAGCTGATATTTTTCGAAGCAGCCAATCTCAGTGAGGATCGTATATACGGTGGTTTGCACAAATGTGGTTACTGGACAAATAGTTTAGTTCTGTAAGGAGTTTCATATCTTTCATACCTGTTGGTTTAAAAGAAAACTAATGAAAATGGCTTGAAAACTTAGAGTTTTAATGATAAGGACAAAATAAAGGGTAAAGTGAATAGTACCAGGATTGACTTTTTAGTGTAAAAATGTGGTTTTTCGTTAAAGTGAACAGTACCATGGGATTTTCGTTAAAACTCCCTTGATTTAATGGTTTCCTGCTACGTGTAAGCATATTAACAATGGTGGACAATATTTGCATACATAACCCATGAAACAGTTCCTGGATTGGCCTTCACCCAAAGGTGGAAGTTCACCGAATCCCCACATCTCACATCTTAAGATCTATTATCTAAAGAGGTAATGCACATAACGAGTGTTGTAGACATACGTGTAGAGCAAATTCTCTGCTAAATAACATCTTATAACGCAAGGCTACGTATCCCCAATTCCGATTGTAGGGTATAATCTCTCCTAAATGGCAGTCATATCACATCAAGAAGTGAGGTCCCATGAATGTAAAGGCAAGAAGGGTCTACCAAAGCAAAGACATAAGGTATAGAGAGAGCATAGATCGATGGTTGGCATCATGATGTCCCTCCGTGGTTGAGTTCAATCATGGAATGGAGTCCTTAAAATGTACTCCCTTCTTTTTTTTTTTTATCTTAATCCAAAAAAGCACTTGACGAGATTGGATGGTGGGTGTGCATGTAGTGGAACCGCGGAAGTGTGATCTGATCTGAGGGCCACGACAGACAATGACAATGGGCTATAAGAGCTTTGAATGGGAAAAAAAAGCAGGAGGAAGATTTTGAGTATCAGAAGCATGAGACGCCAAAAGCAATATGACCATGCTTTTGGAGATTAACCCAGTTCGGCAAAAGTGCTTCACCACCCCAAAAATCCCCCATATCTTGCTTTGTGGCTTTTGATGGTTGGTTCAATTTGGATCATGACGAGGGCACGTGAGGCATATCTTCAGTTGCTACTTTGTTGCGCAAGCGGCAAACATGTCATTTCCGCCCACCTCCCGCAACATGGTGGGTGCACTGCACACCCTTAGCCAAATATGACAATAAAAAGAAATCCCATTTCCCTTTTCCTTTTTTAGGCCCCCCACGAGAGGGAGATATGGTATTCATGGGTCTGACGCGTGGACCGCGTGACCTGTCCGGCCACTCAACAATACCCCTTGCATCAAGAGTGGGACCAACATAGAGGCTATTAGGACCTCAATGTAGAGAGGGTTCTCTATTTGTGTGTATGGAGAGATTTTTCAGTGTAACCAGCACACTAGATGGTACACTACATGTCACTATACAATTTGTGAGATATAACGGTCTCTCTATTTGTACACTACATGTTACTATAAAAATAGAGTGGTCTCTCTATTTGTGTGTATGGCCAGACATATACATGTTCCACCTGCCAAACCAAAGAATTTCTCCGCAAAAGGTCCATGAGCACGTAAAATGGGGATCCTATCAACTTGTTCCTACCTGGATTTCTATCACAAGCAATTTCATCTTCTTTTTCTTCCATGAAAGTCAAATGAAAAGGGATTCTAGGCGTTTTGGTTGGACCGTAGGAGACATAACATTTAGCCCATTTAGCTTAGGCTAGGTTTCCTAAAAGGTAAAAAGTGCCAAATAAACAAGATTTACGGGCAACTCATTTGGACTGGATCTCAACATTTCAGTTGCAGCAACCCACTTCCCAATCATCTCGATGGACTTCCGCCTAATCAAATGAAATCGATTTTGTACACATCGAACCCAAATTTGGAGATTTTTTTTTCCCCTTCTCTTCTCTTTTCTAAGTTAAATTTGGAGAAAAATTTATTTTAAATGAGATGCTTCAGAGGTTTTGAAACCGCTAATACACGAGATAATCTTCAGTAGGGAGGCCACATGGTGCAATCACCCAATAACAAAATTGTAACAAATCCGCTACGTTTTAGTGTAATATTCATCCAAATCACACACTGGGATCCTCAGTTTCACAAAAAGCCATAAGCACAATGTAACGCATCATCATCATAACACTTAGCAGGAGAAAACAGATTTAGTCATACTCTAATTCGTCAGGAGTAACTGGCCTTTTGAGGGGAATGATTGACTTCTTTTCAACGTCCCGAGATAATGCTTTCCTCATATCTGAAACAGCCACAATCACAATAGGTGAGAGGCCACACAGTTTAACATAAAGAAATTTGGATGGGGGCGACTCACCTAACCCATCTTCATCCCCTGAATAGTACCGTAGCACTCGTCTATAGATTACATAACCAAGCTGTGGGAAAAAATAAAAGCAGAAAACAAGATAGATAATGAGCATCACTTGTCCCAAAGGAAATTCCAGAAATATCCAAGTCAATCCATGTCTGGCTCCCACAAAACTCACATAGAACCCCCGAATCATATACTTATGTTCCACATGGAGTTCTCAAAAGGTTCCCATTCTTATATTGATGTTCAAGGAATTATTTTCATATCTGTACAACAAACAAGATCCTCCTAACGAAATCGTAAAAATGGAAAGTACGCTAGAAATACAGGGAACCTACTTTCCGCTCATTTCAATTTTGGTTGACAATACAATGCAAACCATCTCTACAGTTAATGAAACATTACCTTTTCATACATCTTTATGGCAGGGGTGTTTGATGCTCTCACAAAAAGATCAACAAAGTATCCCTTATCACTGCCAAAAGAAACTTCTCGTTAAAGAGCTGATGCATATATGAAAAAGACTGAAAAATTACACAACCCGGTAACACTTCATATTGTTCTCAACCTAAAAACTGATTCAGAAGATGAAATGCTACGAGACTCAAAAGATGGTGGAGAATTCAATGCTCACTTCGATAAGATAGAACAACATAAAAAAAAACAGACGTCATAATAGTCATAGGATCATTTCACCTATCAACATGTCTGAGCGTGTTAAGAAAAACTATGATCAGGTTTTCCATTATTGCAATTTGCAAAATAATGATTTGTGCAAGAAGATGCCCAAGTTTCTACTCCATACAAAGAAAACTATTGATATATGAATTGAAAGTTAATCTTAATCAAGGTATGCCCCTCTTACATCTTATCGCTGAATTCTTCAAGCAAGTTCATGAGCTTCTTGGCCAGTTGCTGCCTGCGATATTCTGGAGAAACGGTTACCGCAGTTACATGACCATGCCATGACTCACCTTGCCCCTCAACCTTTCCCATAACTGCAATCAAATCAAAACCAGATAGCTATTTATACACCTATCAAAACTAAAAACAAAGCTTAGAAGGAAAAGAGAAAGAGAAGCTAATCACATTAGCTCGAGAAGAAAGCCAACAAACGGTCGCCCAGTGGCAACATCCAACCTCTATTCTTACCTAACCTGAATGAATAAATGAGTGAACATCTCACACGCCTCACAACACCGCTTTTTAGAACAATCGGTCATACAAACCTATCTTAGATGCTCAATAAAATGCTGCGCAAAATTTGATTCTTAGCACACCCCGTACCCTAAACAACAAGGACCCATTTCTTAATCTGAAACCTCTACTCCCACAACCTTGGTAATTGGTCCAACCAAGTAAACAAATTTATACCAACATCGATACAACAAACTTAGTAATTTTACGACAGAGAAACGAAACGGAACTTGTATACCAAGTGAAGTGCTAATTAAAGTACAATGTTCCTTTCACCCAAATCTAGCATAGAAGAAAAAGCTTACTCCTAAGTTCCCAACTTCTTATTCAGTCATTAACCCTCCATTTTTATACTTAAAATTCAAAACTTTCGACCAGTAACAAACGGGATTGCAAGATAGAATTTGTAATTACGGAAAATAAAACAAATGTAAATTTGCAGGGGCGAAAGCGAATTTGAGAGAGATTTGGTGTGCTTACTGTAACCCATGATTCGGTGTCCAGGTGCTTCGGCAACGTGAAAGTAGTCGGGCCATCTCGCCAAATACGTCATGTAAAACGACATATTGAACTGCAAAATCACCAGATTTATTAGAAATTTGCACAACAATTTCAGGAAATTGGAGAAGAAAAAGGAGAGAACTTTACGGTTTCAGTGAGGTGGTCGAGATTCACAGAGCTGAATCGAAGAAGATCATTGCAGCAGAATCTGCGTATCGTCGTCATCTCTCTCCCTCTCTCTCCTGGATGCTTGAATAGTTGAATGAATTCGACCGGGATTTCGGGTCGGTTTTACCGCTGGACAAATAGGACAATGAGGTTTGGGGAATTTGCATAGTGGCCCCTTAATATTTTCCCAGTCAGCGCCTTAACTATACAAATTAACAGTTAAGTGCTCATTCTTCATATTGTTTACAATTTGCCACCCTCATCCATTTAAATCCACTTTTCTATTAAACAATGGCACGCGTAAAAAACGTGCGCCTTTTTCAATGAGCATTCTCGTCATTTTTGCTGCTAAACTAGGCACAACATAAACGTAAAATGTTCTGAGTTTTGATTTTAATACGTTGAAATTATTTTTATTTTTTATTTTCATGAATTAATAAATTATGAGAATTAAAGTTCTGTATTTTAGTTACTAATTTTTCATGTGTTTACTAATATATATATATATATATATATATATATAAAATGAGGATCCCTTTTGCATAAAGGGCATATATATATAAATTAAAATGGTGTTGTTTTACATTAAAATCTATGTAGATGAAGAACATTTTTTTTTTTAAAAGGGAGACAACTAGTGGCAAGTCACGGTTATCCACCTCTTTTGGGGTTGAGAATACTCATATAGGCATTTCAACCTCTCTAGCCACAAGTCTGGCTTCCACACTAGCAGTGGGTTTCGAACCCAAAACCTCCAGTTTTTAGTTTGAAAGAATCCTCATAATCTACCATTTACTACTGAGCTACCAGCTCGTGGTTGTAGATGAAGAACATTTCATAAATAGATCCAACTTCAAGTGACCCAGTGTACAAAATGACGAGAATGCCCTTAAGTATGGGTGCCAATTGTAAAATAATGTGAAATTTGGGTGGTTCATTCATAAAAGGATTTTGTTCAAGTGCCATTCATGCAATTTTCTCATTAGGTTATTTTAGACCCGAACCGAAAACCTAAATTGCGCTCCGTTTACTACCCCACACCAAAAAGTATTTATGGCTTTCTCGATCTATTTAATTCAGGAAAATCAAATCATCGTCTTCTTCCCCAAATCCGAAATCCCATTCAAAACCCTAGATGGACCTGCTGAAGGAAGAAATCGCCAAGAAACGGCAGAGGCTCAAAGAAGACACCGGCGGCAAGCGATTCTTTAAGCGCTCCGAGATCGAGCAGAAGCAAACCCAGAAGCTTCGGGAGCAAGAGAAGCGCGAATTAGAAGCCAAAGCCCAGCGTCAAGCCGCCGCGTCCAACACCGCCTCCGCAAACTACTCTTCCGCCGCTAATTCGAATTCCAATTCCGCCGCAGCTTCTTCCTCCGCCAATGCATCCTCCAATGCCACCGCGTCGAAGTCGTTAACCGATGAGCAGAACATCGACAAGATGAACCTTCCAAAACAGGAGGTCGTCCGCCGGCTCCGGTTCCTCAAGCAGCCGATCACTCTCTTCGGCGAGGATGATGACGCCCGGCTCGACCGGCTTAAGTACGTGTTGAAGGCTGGTCTGTTCGAGGTCGACAGCGACATGACGGAGGGGCAGACGAACGATTTCCTTCGCGACATTGCGGAGCTGAGGAAGCGGCAGAAGTCGGGGCTTGTGAGCAAGCGGCAGAAGACGGAGGTTGATGGTGGCGTGGAAGATGGTGAGGGCGGGGTCCGGGAAGACGATTTGAGCGCAGATGGGTGCTCTAGCGGCGTCGATGCTGATAAGGATTTGAAGCGAATGAAGACGAATTTCGAGGAGCTGTGTGATGAAAATAAGATCTTGGTGTTCTTCAAGAAGCTGTTGAATGAATGGAACCAGGAGCTGCGCGAGATGCCGGATGCGGAGAGGAGAACTGCTAAGGGGAAGTCCATGGTTGCTACATTCAAGCAATGTGCCCGCTACTTGCATCCTCTGTTCAAGTTCTGCAGGAAGAAGGTAAATTGATTATTGCTTTCTGTGTTTTCATTCTGTTTCGATTATATTTAGCTCAATGATCAATCGCTCAACTTATATACATTGCGCGAAAAGAACTTGGAAATAGACATTGCGTGAAAAGAACTCGGAAATAGACAACGAAGACTACGCTTTTAAGTGTGAGAATCATATCGACTTAATAACAAGTTAGGAAAAGAACTCGAAGGTATGCTCTTAGGTGTACATTTTTCTCACAATTGAGCGTAGAATGTCAAAACCCTGTGCTTTTTTATTGCTGTAGTTCTCTTTGGATTGTATAGTTTTAGTTCATTTGATTTTTGGATATGGAGCATTGAATTGTTGTATTCGATTTGCAGATCCTTCAAGATGATATTCGCATAGCGTTGATGGTGGTGGTTCGGTGCTGCATGAAGCGAGACTACCTAGCTGCAATGGACCAGTACATCAAGCTGGCTATTGGGAACGCCCCTTGGCCAATTGGTGTCACTATGGTTGGTATCCACGAACGTTCTGCCCGTGAGAAGATTTACACCAACAGTGTGGCTCATATCATGAATGACGAGACAACTCGGAAGTACTTGCAGTCAATCAAGAGATTGATGACCTTTTGCCAACGACGCTACCCAGCCATGCCTTCAAAAGCTGTGGAGTTCAACAGCTTGGCTAATGGTAGCGACTTGCAGTCTCTGCTAGCATCGGAGGAGAGGGCAGCCTCTAGCGGAAATCAGGTTTCGGAGGAAAGGCTTCTGATACTGCCGGCTCCATAGAAAATCTAGTCATGTATATTTGTGTGAATTTTTTCAGCGCACAATCAAACTGAAACTTCGTTATGAAGATAGTTCGCATCTTTAATTCAATCGAAATCGTTAATCGATATTCATCTGGATTTAACATCTCGTAGTTCTATTCCTTAAAATTAAGATTGTTTTACAATCATTGTGAATGCATGGAGAGGGACAGAGAGAACAGAGATTATTGGCTCTTCCCAAAACCAAAAGTGTCTTCAACACCATTGTTCACCTTGCTCCGCCGCTCGGCAATCATATCTGCATACGCCTGGAAACGAAAATGACAGAAACTTTAGATGCATACGTGGGTTATGCCAGTTGACTAGGGTAGCGAATTTGCCCACCGAGAAGAGAAAACAAGAAAACAAATAATAGAGGGAGTGATGCCCACATACCTTAGGGTAAGAATAGAGAAAGATGTACCACCAGGTGCTAATTAGTAAGGTTGCCAAGATTGTCACTACTCCTGAGTGCAGAATCAGCCAGCTACCACCAATCACTACCACTCCAGTCAGCGTAATTGTCCATGGCTGACACCTGAGATTAACCAGAGAACCTTGTTATTTCTCTTTCGGGTCTGTTTGGAAGTACTTTTAAAATGATTTATAAGCGTTTTTCAAATAACCAAAAGCGCTTCTGATATCACTTGTATAAAAGCACTTGGAAGTAGTGTTTTTCCAAAGAAGTGACGTGCTTTTAACTAATGCTCTTATGAGCAAAAGTGCTTTCTAGATTAGCATTCCGGAACAGACCCTTAACTGGGTAACCTGAAATTCAATTCCAACAGTGTCCCCAAGCTAAGACGAATACAATAAAAACCGAACCGAACCGAACCGGTCCAAAACAATACGAAAAAACCTTATTTAGAACAAGCAACAGGAAATTAGGGAAGAGCGAGAAGAGGGTGAAGGGCTCACCAGGATGGCTTGGTGTCCCAAACGGAGTCGTATTCAAGAGAAAGGTAGTTCATGTAGCCATCCATGTCATCGACAACTCCGTCTTCGTCCAAGAACTGAGACTCTTTCGGGTCGATTGAATTGTTGCCAAAGACGACGACATTTTCGCTGCGAAATCTCGTCGGCTTCGGATAAGTTACGGAGATGTGTGGGCCGGAGACGGGGTTGCAGAGATGGGTTTGCGCAGAGGCGAGACGGGGTCGTGGTGGAGAATGGAGGGAGAGAAGAGGGGAGAGAGATAGAGTTCCCATTTTGTCATATTGTCATGATAAGCAAAATATCTGTTTGCTATATAATAATGCTTTGCTTGTTACTCTATTTTTTCCCTTTTCTTTTTTAACAATGCTTTATTACTAAAAAATGAGTAAAAATTTCTACTTAAAATTTTTCAAAATTTATCTTCGTTGTCAATTTATAAAATTTTGTGTTTATAATTAGAACCATTCATATTATAAATTATCCTATAAAAATCGCATCTGCAAAAAATCAATTAAAACTAAGATTGTTTAATTATCAAATTGTTTAAAAACAAATGAACGGTATTGGTAAAAGCATTACAAACTGTCTATGTATTTGCTACGATAGATTGATTAAACGATCTTAGTTTTAATTTATTTTTTGCAAAGATGATCTTTACAATGTAATTCATCGTATGAACAATTCTGATCATAAGCACAAAGCTCTGTAATTAAAACATTAAGAGTTTTGAGTATGAGTTCATACTCATCTTTGAGTAGCCAAATATTGTTCTTTCTTTTTACTACTTTGATATTATTTAAAAAAAAAAAAAAAATTGAAATTCGAATCTGGATATAAAGGGACGAACATGCTACGGTAAATTAGCCTCACTCGCACATGCAGTTCTCTGCTTAGTTCGCTAGTGAGTATGAAATTTAGTAGCCAAAAGCTACAAAAATTCTACAATGCACCGGTGAATAAGCTGCATTTTCTCAACGGATGGATGGATTTCTGTCCTTTAGTAGGCAAAAGACCACGAAAATTCTATTATGCACTCGAGAATGGGGTTGAAATTGACGCAGAAGATGCAATCGGAATGGCTACGGAGGGTCTTAACGCACTCACCGACGGAGAAACGAGCGTCCCAGATGTGAAGGGTGCGGTCGTTGGATAACCGGGCGAGGTCGGAGATGCCTTCGGAGTGGCCGAAGAGGCGACGAAGGAGGGTTAGGGAGGAGGCGGACTAGAGGATAACGGTCTTGTCGAGCGACGCCGAGGCCAGAAGGCTGGCGTCGGAATTTGGCGCACGACATGGCGTTTTCGTGACCGGGGAGGATCCTGAGGTGGCGGTACGGCCTGTAGGGTGGCGATGGTTGGTCACTGCCACTGCTTGCCATCGCTTCTCTGATCTGCTTTACATTCACACTAAACACACACTACATTATTGGGTACGATAATTTCACCCACTAAATTCTTCCCGCGGATACACCCAACACCAGACTTATTTTTTTTTCTTCAAAAAAAAAAAAAAAGGATATAGCTATTGGCTTCGTCAATAATCTATTCTTTCTGAAACCGAAAAGACTTACGAAGTCATTTCAATCTTTTCTAACCACTATTTTGTTATTCACTAAGCCAAAAATCAAACTCAAGACACGCCGTTTGAAATACGTCCCCACACCAGAATATTGGGTAATTGGTAATTTTTGGCACAATTTCCCCTCAATGTATAAGAAATTCTCACGATCCTGCTTTTTTGGTCGCCCATCAATGATTTTGATTTCAAAAGTTGATATCAAATCAAAGGGCGCGTGACCATGAATTTCTTGATCATCGGGTGACCGAGATACATTTCTGGTAAACAGTAAATGCGAGCATGAAGAAAGATAACTAAATTCATCAGATACAATAAAATCAGTTTCAAGAGATTTTTCTTTTGGTGAATAGTTGAGGGATCTTAATAATTACGTACAAAACGAACTCATGCTCAACGGATAGGCTAACAAATACGTTGACATCAAAGAAATGATAGAAACAGTATACTTCGAAGACCATGTTACTCTGTATACTGGAAGATACGCGGACGAGAAAAGAACAAGTCCACCAGGGAGCTTCCCATACGAGCCTAGGTTTGGCCACATACGGTTGTTAGATGGACAAGGAGGGTGATGGCAGTACACCTAGTGTCCACGAGTCTTATTTTTCGATCATAGTTAAAGCTAGATCTCGTATAGGGCTTCAAATCTTACACTTCGTAGGCACAAAAAGGCACTCTGTTAGAGGAATCACAAAGAAAGAACTATCAGTAATGCAAATCAATAACAGATTGTCGTGCAATGAAGATAATATTAAGTGCAAGATAAATAGAGCTGATGATTAATTTATCGCTACGAATCATTTAAAATCCCACGCTTCATTGGGAGATGAGATAGTTCAAAACAACATACGAACAACCGACATTGTTGCAAGATGTATGCTTATGTGTGATATGCACACCTCGAGCATGTTAGCCTACTCTAATTTGCAGAACTTTCGTCTTGCATGAGTGCATGAGCTCATGCAATATGTAAAATAATCACAAAAAAGATCACTCTGCAACTTATTAATTTGCATGTGTGTGTGTGTGTGTGTGAGAGGGTGAGGGAGAGAGAGAGGGGTACATGATCCATTTGGCGGCCACAGATTCCAATCCTTGCCATGCTTGGTTTTCTCCTACACGGCCACATAGTCTACCTCGTCTGAGCTTTCATCATAAATTACATAACGAGCATCCTCGTTGCCACTACCATGATCACTATTGTAACTGCTCTCAGAAAAACTCACGAACATTGAACCATCAGATAAAGGACTGCTCATCTGTGATGCCGAAGGCAGACTGAGATCACTGTATGGCTCACTGTCAAACATTGGGTCCATGTCTGGGTAACTGCAAACACATTCAGAACCAGAGACAACTATGATAATCCAATTTTCAAAGACCTATTAATTCTATATTTGGAAAAAGAAAACTAAAATAGAACAACAAAGCTGAAGTTCCATTGAAATACAACAGTTGAAGAGTAAGCAAACCTTCCTTCTGGTGGAAACTCAGCCAGCAGACAGAGATTGGGCCTTTCTTCTAACACCCGCTTCGAGGGAATGGTGCTGCAACAAAATTGACAAAACAATTCACTGTTAAAATCTCTGTGTGACACAATAGGAACCGAAGATCAAATCCCACCTTCAGTAAGGTGGTGGTTTAAGAGATGGGAAAGCTCTAGTCCATTACCTTAAGGTGTGGCATCTCTGAATCCAGTCATCCTCAGACGCCAAGCCTTCTCTGTTAGATATATCCTGTTTGAGGCAATAGGAAAAGTAAACACCACTTTGAGCCCTAGAACTTTACATGCATGCTTACACAACAAGAATATGATGATATTTTATACACCTACAAGATGTCTAAGGAACTTGAAATCCCCAGCAAGAATAGCTGTCAAAAACCGAGTTGCCTCCACCTTCAAAATTACAATTTAGGCTTCAGATAGAGAAAGAGAGGAGAGGCACAATTGTAGAGGCACAGTCCGAAGTGCTCACCTTGTTAAAAAAAAACAATTGATAAAAAAAAATGCTCACCATTTTGAGATGCATGCAATCCCGTAGAATCAAGACTTCCAGCGGATTCCCACCTGTGCTGCTTCCAAGGTTCCTGAAAAATATGAAGTTTCAATAAATCTATGATACAGAAACTTAATAAAAAATCTCCTCTATCAAAGATAACTGACCTTAAAAATGATCCAGTGATCGAGTAGGAAGTTGAAAAATCAACGTACTTTAATTTCTTAAGTCCCTGAACAAGTACCCAGACATTAGATTTCCAGTCTGACAAAACGCAGTTATTTCACCAAAAAATTGTTGTCAAATGTATTACTGCTCCCAGACCTTTACTCAATATGTAATAACTCATGTAGCAATTCTATCTACATATTGTTAGGATTCTACTATAACACAAAATAATATGATACTCGGGGGTAATGTTTCTTGAATTTCCCAAGACATACCTTAAGAAGTATACGAACTTTATAATCATGCAACTTAAACCCTCTGAAGGCCAATGATGTTAGATGAGGGCAATTGTTCACCAGATCAACGCAAGTTGGTGATTTCAAACTGTCATCTCTACCTGGGATTTGTCAAACATGTGTAAGAATAAATTCTGAGAACATAAGGTGGGGTTCCTCATGAAGAAGTGCAATACCTGATTTTGAAGATTCAAAGAACAGACGCTCTATTGATTGACAGTTTGCACTCACTGACAGCAATGTTTGCCTCAATTCAACATGACTGAAGATTGCACAAAATCAAAAATCCCGTAGTGTAATCCAACAAACAAGATTACATAATGTTAAGAACTGAACTTACAGGCCAACAATCTCCAAATCAATGAGAAATGGGCAAGCCATTAGTGCTCCACAGAGTGACATAGTATCCATTCTTTCAATATTGTAAAGGTGCAACCTCCTCAGAAGAGTCCTTACAACAAGCAAAAGAAAGTATAAGATAAACAAGTAAGTAGCAAAAACAAAATTTTCAAAGTCTTACAATTCAAGCATACCCTGGAGTATCAATGTTCCCACATAAAGGGCTTAAACAGGATCTAGAAAGAATGGATGACTCCTTCCCTTGTCGAGATCTCTTATCATTCCATGAAAAGTTGGACACGTCTACAGAATTCCTGATGGTATAAACTAACGGTTGGCAAGATCCAATTGGTGTAGTTGGGCCTGGAACTACCCCAAGCTTAAGAGACCTGAATATTAAGACGGACACATAGACGGGAAAATGTTATGAAAATGAGACTATCATATGCTAATGCAACATCAAATTAGCGTTAAAATAAAGTATGAGATTAGAACTGTAAACTACAGAGATGCATCAAAGCTTTCACTTGACACAAATGCATGAGCAGACTGTTAAAATTGAAGTTTTTGTTGGGTTGAAAACTCTTACTGGAGAGATTTCCCAGCTCGGTGGATCATTGTGGAAACTACCGCATTGTTAACTTTTGGGACAACTGTTGTCAAGTCAATATTGGCATAACAAGAGGGATCCATGGTACATTTATAAAACATTGAACAAGTAGCTGCAGCATAGCATAGGCTTTGTGTATCAAGCATGGAAAAGACCTGCATATCAGCACATGTACTCAGATAATGCATGTATTTCCTATCTAAATTCCGACAAATAAAGTACTTCTGGCATGCAAAAAAGTTTGACCCTAAAACTAGTTTTGGATGAGGGTTTAGCAAGTGCCACTGTACTTGGGCCAAAT